TTTTCTTCTTCACTAATTAAATCATAATTATATATTACATACACCAATTCTCTCTTGATTAAAATCTCACTCACATTTCTTTTTCTCACACTTTCTCACTTTCATATTTTTATTTTTATTATCACTAAAAATTCTATTTTTTTTTAATTTTAATAAAATTAACAATTATTTTATTTCACAGATCACTATCAATACAATATCTATTTTATTTTAACCAACAATTATTTTAATTTGAGAGACAAAATTTTTATTTCTAAATATTAGTTTTTTCTTTCCCCATCTCGCAATTTCTTATTTCTTTTTGTATGATTACTTACGACAATTAAACTTATATCATTATTGTCCATTTTACAATTAAGTAAATTATTTTAAATTTTGTATGTTGTATCTAAATTATTTTGGCAAAATACATTTTTTAGTCTCTTATGTTAGTGTCAGTGTTCATTTTGATCCCTTAACTCGTCAAAACACTTCATTTAAAAATCATTTTTGTCTAATTAGCAACAAATTTAACGATCAATTTTTGAGTTTTTTCGTTGCTAATTAGACAAAAGAACTAAAATGAAGCGTTTTAAAGAGTTAAAAGACCAATATGAACCTTTTTTTTAAATTAAAGGACTAAAATGAACCTTGACGTTAACATACATCATAAAAAAGAGGTATTTTACCATGTATTTTATATAGTATCAAATAATTTTTCATCTCACGGATCATTATCAATACAATATTTATTTTATTTTAATCAATAATTAGAGAAATACCCGTGCGTCTGCACGGTTACTGATTGGATACACACACTTTTTTAACAGATATAAATTGTCATTTATTAAAATATTTGTATTATTAATACACTTTTTTTTTTTCAATTATAAAAATATTTGTATCAATAGTAAATTTTTTCTAATTTATCAAAATATTTGTATCAACAATACTCTTTTTCCTGTTTATAAAAATATTTATATCAACAATACATTACTTTTCATTTATAAAAAATATTGTGTAAGCAAAAGAGTATCTAAACCTTTATGTATCAATAATAAACTTTCTCTATCAATAATAAAAATAGATATATATCCCTGACTAGTCACTTACAGACAACTCTCGTAACTCACCACAAACCATCAACAATGTGCTCATAGTGTCTCTTACACTTGTCCAAATCATTTAATGTTTTGCTAAAAATATTTTGAACATGTAATAAATATAATAATTATTAAGTGATTTGAATTAAAAAAAATTATTCTAACAATATCATCAATTTAGAATAATTAATATTAATTATTGTTACAAACAAATTTATTCGTATTCATATTTCATTCTACAAATCAATAAAATATGTTAAGCTTATTCTTTTGTAGATGTACTCCTGAAATTCAATTCGACATAATTTGTGTTAAAATTAAATACAATATATTTCCCTAATGATAAAAATATTATATGGAAAGTAAATGATGAACTAATATTTTATAGAAAACATTTTGTGAAAATTATCAATCTTAACCTCACATTGTGATTCACCATCATATTCAGAGATAAATTATCATTCTCTTATAGCTGTTGATGCAAAGTTTTTACTAAATCAATAAATTACTCTCAAATTACCCTTCTCTTGCAGCTGCTGTTACAAAATCTTTATTAAATCAATAAATTATCCTCAATAATATGTATGAATATACAATATTTGTATTTGTTTTTTAAAAATAAATCTTAAATATAGAATTGTATTGATCGAAAGTTGAATTGGTTTATGTTAACATAGCTTGTAATATATAGCCGTTATGGTTCCGTTATTATAGGAAGGTCCAACTGTATAGGACATTTTCAGTATATAAATGACATGTGATACTGTACCAAATTCACATTATTGAGAAATAAAATGTTTTCATATTTTAGTTTATGAGATTTTAATAGTTTATGAATTATGATTATTGATAGTATTATTATATCTATTTATGTTTAAAAAGTATTTTCAATTTATCTTCCCAAAGCAGAAAAGATTTATTGAACATATTCTTCTAAAAAAAATTATTTTTACTAATTTGAGAATATATAGGTAGTTGATAAACTATTTATGTTTAAATATAATTTTAGTCTAAAAACTATATGACATTATTAGTTGAAAAAAATATTTTTTTAACACAAACTATTTTAGTAAAGTGGAGAATGTAGATATTGGGAGATTATATAGTAGATTTATCTTGACAAAATAGTATTTCAAAATACAAAAAAATTCCTTTTTTTTCTTCTCTGAGTGCCAGCAGCTAAACCCAGAATACTTTCATTTCATGGAGTTCAGACCTCGTGATTACATAACTGAGAATGAATCTCACGCGCTTCCTCGCGCACGCGCCGATGCTCATCCTCTATCTTCTCCACTTTCACATCTCACACAGGTCCTTCTTTTAACGATTACACTACCTTGAATCGTGAATTATCTGCTATATGCCATCATGTATAATCGGTGTTGCGTTATCTGATTTCGCTGAGGTAAAGCTTTAGTTTCATCAACCTAATGCAAGCAAATGAATAAGGAACTTCTATTGGGGATAAAATCGATTGATTTTCATATGATTTAGGAACTAAATTGACGGATTTCATATGTTTAGGAATTGCTTATTATATTTTTGTAGTTTAGGGACTAAATTGGAGAGATTGATAGTTTAAATGACTAAAATGATGGTTTATTCAATTTTAGTGCATGTTTAAACGGAGGAATGTGACGGAATGGAGCAGAATCAAATAGTATAAAATGAAGTTCCATTCTTTGATCAATCAAAATCGGATGGATCAGAGCAGCAAAATGGATTCCATTCCGTTCCATCACTTACCATCACATTTCTTTCCCTACGATTTGGGCAAAATAAAAAATTTCTCCATTCCGCTCCATTCCATGCTGCTCTTTTCCATTCCGCTCCATTCATTTCATGATATCCAAATACGGGCTTATTTTTCTTTTTCTGTTCAATATTTCTAAAAATAAAACTAGTGACATTGAAATGATACATTATCATCCTCATGTTATTACTTATTATATTTTTAAAAAAAACTATCATGTTATTATTTCAAATTTTTAAAATCTTTAATATATACCAAATTATAGATTTAGCCATCCATAATCTTATATCAATACATATCTGTTTGCAATATTAGAGACAGAGTCGGAGTACCGTCTATAGTAGAGAAGATGGCGGAAAATAGACTTAGGTGGTTTAAACATGTAGAGAGAAAGACCTGTAGATTATGTAGTAAGGAGAGTAGACCGGATGAAGAGAAGGCAAATAGTTCGAGGAGGAGGAAGACCTAGAAAGACAGTAAGGGAGGTTACTAAGAAAGATCTCGTGATTAATGATTTGGATAGAAGCATAGTTCTTGATAGAACATTATGGGAAAAGTTGAAAGTTGATCTATGTAGCCGACCCTATCTAGTGGGATAAGGCTTAGTTGTTGTTGGTCTATTAGTCAGGTCCATTTGAGGAGAATAACATTCATAAAGAGATCAGTGTTTGTACACTATTCATACTGATAGTATAATATCCAGTTTTCAATATCCTTACAAACATTACAAACATTACAATTGTAAGTTGTGACAAACTCACAATCTTCAATTATCTGTTGATATTCTCTGTTTAGGTTAACGATGATGTGGTTGGTGGGAATGCTGATTTCTATGATCCACTGAGAGGAGGAATTGATAATGATGCAAAGTCTACCCCTCCTGAACCTGTCAATTTGAGTGAAACTTCTGGTGATCAGCCAATAAAGGAGTGGACCTCTTTCAGGAGACTACTTATGCAGAGGTTTCCTGTTTCAAAAATGGTCTCCCTTTCTTCAGTAAGTTTTACTGTATTTCCTTTTTCTGGTTCCTATAAAATTTTAAAGAAGGTGCTATATATAAATATGTGGTGGTATGTGAGGATGGCTGAGGGTAAATGTAGTATTTGTCATGCAAGGGAAGCATGTTTTGTGATGACACTACGGACACTTCATATTGAATTTGATCATCTTTAATTGCTTGTAGTGGTTGATTGACATATGAATTCTGAGACTGCCACTGAGTTAGGGTCAACCGCTGTGGATTTGGGCAATAACCTTCTGCAAGGGTTATTCTATCTGTTAATGTCTTTTTTGGGGATGGATATTTTTCTGTTTCACTAATATAGAGCTTTCTATTGTTCATTCGTTTCCATGCGAGAAAACACTGTTTCATTGTCCACTTTAATGGATATTAACCATCAAATATTTTTAAGGAAGAGGTTTATCTATCATTACTAGACTTGCAGATGCGATGATTATTGGTTGTGCAAAAAGAAAACAACACTAAAATCACTTCATTTCTTATTAAGTACACTTTATTTAGCACCTTAGAGGTATTTAAGAATTTCTATTTTAATTCTAATTATTTATTTTTCAAATTACAGATGCCCGATGTTTTAATGAGAAGTGGAAAATGTATGCCAAATTACCAATATCTTTTACATTGATTTTTTATGTTTTATCCTTTATTTAACTTCATTTAGTTATGTGGTGTCCCAATTTTCAGCACACGACAAATCTGCAACAAGTATGCACTTGGAGGAACTAGATGATCCTAAAAAATTTGCAGACGAGGGTGTCAAGGTGATTACTTGGCAGGAGTATGTTTCTAGACTACACGAGCTGAAAGATGAAATTACCCGTTCTTGGCTCGCTGATAACCGTGTAACATCCTTAAAGTTATCTATAAAGGTAATCTTCAATGTATTTAATAATTTATTTTGCAATATTATTGTTGTATAAGTTAAATCACCTTTTCTTTTGTTTTTTGAAATCAAGAAGAAAGATAAACATATTTGTTTTTTAGTTTTTCCATTTAGCTAGAATATATGCATGATGCTCATGTAATTGATTAACTTGGATGTTTTATCTAGTATGTTGTCTGCTATTTGATCCTTTAATATGGCATTTTACATTTTTTAGATGCTCTGATAGAAGTTAGGAAAACCTAAGATACTTCTTTTACTGTTAATAAACATTGGACAAGTCTCACATCTTCTAGGATGACATAAGTAGTGCTTGTAAATATGGCTTAGGTAGTCCTCACCTTATAAGCCGATTTTGTGAGGTTGAGTTAAGTGCTAAGTCCAAATTCAAAGACTCTGTTAGAGAATTTTCTAAAATAAGTTCGTTGTAGGCACCCGTGTTTGTCCTTGCTCTAGGCCCAAGGAGGTGTGTTGGAAAGTCTCACACCGCCTAGAGATATGTATGACTCAAGTGGTGTCTGTCACCCTTTGGTCAGCTTCCCAATCAATTGAAATCAAGTCCCAAAGGGTTGATTCATATATCCATATTATGAATAAATTCATGAAATCAAATAAAACTCATTATTACATAGAATGTATAATATTCTGGTCCATAGACATTGTAGTGTTATTTTTTTATATGTTTATAGGTATATTAGTATTTTTTTCATTTTGTTTAGTATACCTCAGCTCACCTGTTATCCTAAAGTTTACGAAGTTCGCAGTACCCTGCTTTTGGTTGTATAATATAGGAGACAAACAATCTCCATTTCAGTGTCTATGCAACACAATCTTGTTTTTCTTTATTTCATATACATATAATGTATCTAGTCATTTGACTTTATCTAGAAATCCTAGGTTAGAGATCATTCCTTGTGTAGCCTTTCAGCTTAGCATAGTTCTTGTTGCTTGTTTATATGTTTCGGTGTTTGGTTTCCCATTTCTCAGATAATATAGGGATGGAAGAGCCCTTGTAAACTGTAATGACATTTTTATATTTTCTTTTCCTCTGGGCTTTATTCACTCTCAGTAATGTTTTTATTTTTAAAATATATTGATTAAATAGAAGTGGCTTTCCAGTTGACTAACTCATATTCTACTATCTTGAGAGAATGTGTGATTGAGATAATGATTTCTTTTTGTTTATGATCTTATCGTGTTGCTAATGGTGGACTATGCATATCTGAAAATGATTATTTAATTGCAGGTTGCTAAGCTTATGGTGGATACATCAGTATCTGAGTTTTATCCCACTCTATTTGTCCTTGTCACAGATATCATGGACATGCTTGGGGACCTGGTTTGGAAACGCATAAAGCAGAAAGCAGAATTTACTGAAGACGGAGCTTTACTCTGCAACTTGGCAGGTACTTTGTCAATTTGAATTGCTTACATACATAGCTTCTTTGTAGTAATGTGATTCAGTCAGAACAAGCATTTAGCTTGTCTGCAGCATGCTAATAATTTTCAACTTTAACAATTTTTAATGCTAATGTTTTGAAGACTTGGTATTTTGTATTTTAACATGTTAAAAGCATGTTAATTCCTTCAAACTATACTCTGTTTAGAACTGGGTCACCTTGTTTCTAACTTTTAATTAATATTGCATATCCATAGTGCATTTCTAATAATATCTAGTCATTGATCAAAATCTGCAAGTTCACAGCTGTCCGCCTATTGAATCTCTCAATTGAGCAGGTCATGGAGAAATCAGAAGAAAATCAAACATTTGTGTTTGAGGGATTGCTGACCCAAGTCTACTAGGGCAACATGTCATTGTAATTATGATAGTTTAGATTTAAATGAGAAATTTATTAAATTTGGAACATAATTTGTGGTTTGTGATTTGTCTATATATTTCCTTTAGGAGAGCTAAAAAGGAAAACATGAGAAGTTCTATGCTGCAATGCTGCAAAGCTTTTTTACTCACGCATCAAATAAAATCACACCAATGTAGGGATATTTTAGATTTTTAGGAACTAACCTAAGCAAGTGGAATCATGAATGATTTGATTGAATGTATGTGTAAAAAAATTACATTATCGGCATATACAAATTAAATCCTATTTGTATATGTTATAAATACTAAAATAAAATTGATATATGTGACTGACTGTTCCCCCTTTCCCACGCCCCTATGTAATTATTATGGTTGGCAAGTACTATGACGGTAGGGATGATAAACAAAACGATATACCAAAAATACGTATGCATTGGTGTCAGATACAAATGTTAGCAGGATAAACCACCATTTTTGGGATATACATGCATTATAGAGGAATGCATATATGATATATGATTTGTCGAAATACAGTTTGGGATATTATTTGGGATGAACTAACCAATTGAAAATATGCCAAAACTTCAATAAAGGCCCTCACTATCTCAAACATAAGAAGTCACCAAATATGTTTGAATGTTTCCATCTGTATCACATCTATTGAGATTACTTTATACGCCATTCAAGCTGATGATCTGTGACATTCTCTTTTCTTAAGTATTTTATTTGAATTGTGTAGAAAACTTTGAAGCCAGTGATATCTGTGCGGATGCCAAAGAAACTTGCTATAACTGGTTCAGCAAAATTGGTGCTGTGCAAGATCTTCTTCCACGCATGTGAATTCCTTATCCCTCCCTCTATTTAACTTATTTGTTGTATGCTTTTTCTGACGAAGTTAAGTTTCTTCTGTTTATGTTGGTTTGAGACTTTATGATGTCACGTCCACCTCTATTTTCTTCATATATTCACAATTAGAATTTCTATCAATTCAGTTTTAAAAGACTTCATAGCTACGCCCTTACAAAAAGCTAACTCAATAGGAATTATCCCTCTCACCGATGCTATTGAATCCGCAGCTGTTGGTCTTACCGGCCTTGGTGGTAGGGATATAAGACCAACAGTGGTTGTGTAACTCCCCAATACTTCACCTCATGTTTCAAGAGGAAGGTCTATCTTTGAGCTCCTCCCTAAATAGTGCACGCCCTTACGAAAATCACATCCATTTAAATTTCTGCAATCTTAAACCTAAACCCAAACACAATAAATAGCCATTTTTCTTTGTTGGTGAAGCACATCTTTGTTATATATAAAAACAATTTGTGGGTCAGTGCTAACTGCTTATGCTTTTGGGATAATCTGGTTCTTGATATGCTAGGAAAGCCTCCTTGACCTAGTTCTTTGACTATTGCTCTATTGTTTACGTGTGTTAAGAGTCCCATACCAGGTGAGATGAGATCAACTCTAAAAAGTGTTTATCAGTGGGAGGCATCTAACAAGGTGGGCTTGCAGGAACTAGAGCTTGAAGTGGAAGGAAGCGTGAGACAATAGAGAAATGTAACCAATTTGACAACTGGAATTGTGCAGGAATCATGATTGGAGACGGGAAGAGGGAATAAAAGGAATACATTGAGTGAGGAATAGCAGAGTGACATAGGAAATAACTTAAAGAAGTGTTGCCTTGTGCAGGGATTATGATTGGAGACGGGGAGAGAGATGAAAAGGAATATATGTAGTGAGGAATAACAGAATGACGTAGGGAATAATTTAAAGAAGTGTTGGATATGGTAGAGCTGAGAATTGGGGTCTCAATCTCTAGGTATATTCATTTTCCAATAGTTATTCAATTTCCCAGGAGTTTTGCATCCAATTGGTCTTACATTGCACCGTTGATGCAATCATCAATCACTCTGTTTCATCAGGGTTACTTCCTTAAATCTGTTTAGTAGCTTGCAGTAGGTTGTTTTTTCCTAACAAACCAAAACCAATTTTCGCATCTGTTTAGTAGCTTGCAGTAGGTTGTTTTTTCCTAACAAATCAATTATCGCATCTGCATCAAGAAGCTTAAACTTTTGTGTTATTTTGGATTTAGTTAGAAATTGGACCTACACGGTGAATAGTTCTCAAATACATGAACTTCGATACAAAGACGTTGGGCTGGTGTTGCTGTGGTGTATAGCGGCAAACAAAAAGTAAAGTATTAATTTTACTAGATGATATAGGTTATATCATATCGTGTCCACAGAGATTGATTATTGATTCGCCGTTCGACAATTCATTCGTTAATGAGTTTGGGGATTGAATGGTATAAAAAAGTATTAACAGATAATAAATGTAAACAAAAGAAAAAATTAAGGAAGAACTTATCAAGTCTGCATATAATCTACTTATCACAGACTTAAATCTATCGACCAATTACATTCAATCTAGCAATACTCATCAATGACAACAATCCACATTCAATCTAGCAATACTCATCAATGTTACTATGTATCACTCACAACCTAAGTCATTTCTAATCCAAATTGAGATACCGACTGTATCACTAAGGAAATGATCTCTCTACCTCCTCAACAACACAGAAGACAACTATGTAATCGCACTGGCGATCTCTCAGCACAACACAACCACACAGAGGCATTAAGCTCTGATACTCAAGTAGATGTCAGCTCTAAATCTATCTTTAGAGTTCAGAAACTAACAGATAATCATCCTAGATAAGAATCTAAGCAGTATATGTCTATAACAATTCAAGTCCCTAGCACAAAGCAAAAATCCAGGACAACAATCCACAAAGATTTGTAAAGCAAGGTTAATATAACGCCATGGACGACAAATATACATAAGTTCAAAGTAAAATACATACAAAACCCAACAAAAGAGAAATACATAGAGAGGAGAAGAGATAAACCACAAATCTTCCGGTTTGTCAGCTCCGGTCAATAAGAAATCCACCTCCAATCATCTATAAGCAAAACTCTAGTGTTGTTATCTAAGCTAATCCACTACAAAATTGAGGTTGATGGAGTTGGGAGAACAAAAACTCACCCCCAAAACCATCACCCAAAATGAAACAAAATGAAAGTATAAAGAAATTCTGTTTCGCGAGAATCGTCCGACGACATAAAGCGTCGCCCGACGACGTCTCTTATTCACTTGACCAAGATAAGCCACGTCCTCAGCAGGTAAAAAATATCCTCCATCGCCCGGTGATAGAAAACTTCGCCCGACGATACCTTTATTCCTCGCCTGGCGACGCAGTAGCGAAGCAAGGCAGAGGCAATCATCAAAAATGACCTTCTCGCCCACTGTCGCCCGACGTCAAGAATTTCGGCCGACGACACTAGGCAGAAGCAACAAGGAAATTTTGGCCTACAAATTTCGTCCGGCGACAGGAACTTTCGCCCGGCGATCCATGACAGTCCAACAACTTCTATTGCTTTCTTGCATAACTTCCAATGGCTCCAATCTTTCGCCTTATTCCTTTATTGATCCAAAAATATATCTTGGAGCTTTATTCCTCTTACTCCAACAATGCTCAAATACCTACAAAATGAATACAAAACCATCAAACGATACACTTTATACACGAAAACGTATTATATACAAACTAAACGTATTTATACACAAAGTTGAGTTATTCAACTGATATTAACAACCAAGAGTCGATAATTGCAACAAAAAGTATATACAAAAATAACTACAATTTGCACTTATCAAACTCTCCCCAACTTGAATCATTGTTTGTTGATCCAAAAATGTATCTTGGAGCTTTATTCCTCTTACTCCAACAATGCTCAAATACCTATAAAATGAATACAAAACTATCAAACGATACACTTTTTACACGAAAACGTATTATACACAAACTAAACGTATTTATACACAAAGTTGAGTTTATTCAACTGATATTAACAACCAAGAGTCGATAAGTGCAACAAAAAGTATATACAAAAATAACTACAATTTGCACTTATCAAACTCTCTCCAGCTTGAATCATCGTTTGTCCTCAAACAAGGCCAAACAACTCAAAGAACAAAGGAACAATAATCAAAGAATCCCGAATCAACAAGTTTTTAAAATGGAAAACAAATGTATGGTTCAAAATAAAAACATACGCACAAGGCAAAAACTTACCACTAAACTACAACGATATCATGAAAATGAAACAACTCCTAAATATAAAGCACATGTCGAAAATTCTAAAACAATACAATGTTCACAATGAATCACACTTAGCACACACTTCATCGCTAGATGAAAAACACAAACATGAGGTGCTCAACTCTCACCCAACAATCTTGTTAACAACAAATAAATTATACATTCATCAAAGCAAATTCATATTGAAAAGCACAAAAGTAAAATCACAAGGGCTTCAAAGGTTGTAACGTGGTCGGGTGAACAAACAAGAGATAATTCCTAAGGTTAGTTGAAACAAAAACTTGCTTAAACGTAAAGGAGTGATCAATTCACCAAAGATTCAAACACAAAATTCCAATTAGACTTCTTCCGAATCCCAAATTTCACACCAAAACACCATACTTATTAACACAACATTATTCGAACTCTTTTTGTTTTTCTTTTTCAAAGTTTTTCTTTCTTTTTCTCCTCTTTCTTTTTCACTTTTTTTTATTTATTTTTATTTTTATTCAACCTCATAGCAACCAACCAATAAGTACACCATCATTTTTCTCCCCAACTTGAATTCATTCGTATCATTATGTGAATACTCCCTACATTCTAAGGCAAGGCAAAAGTTCATACAACAACACAAAGTTGAGGGCTCAAGAAAAAAACAACAATCAAAATCCATTCAAAAAGTGAATTCAATACTCATATACAAGTATCAAGTTCAAATAACATGGATAGTGACAAAAGGCTCAAAGGGGTTGCAAATGATCACACACTCATAAGGTGAAATTGACTATTTGACTAGGTGGTTGTGCTCAAAATCAAACAAAATGTCTTGATAATATCATGCTTTCATACGAATCAACATAAATGCAAGACTAAACATAATAAAATTGAGTTAAGACAAAATTGTCGGTCTCCCGTGCATATAGTAAACAATGGAAAGCAACCTCACAATGATTTAGTTCTAAAGTGATTCAAAAGTGAACACAATTTGCAAAAGAATGAATGACATGAAAATTGTACAAAAGAAAAATCTCCTAAACATGCTATGTTCTAGAAAGCGATAAATGAGTACCTGGTGTGTACCCACTTCAAAACACTATCATTACCATACATCCGCAAGTTGAAACGTTCAGACTTGGAAAATCGCCTCTAAATTCCTCAAGATATCGGACCAAAATGGGAGTCCGAACAACAATCAAAAGAATTAGAAATATAATACTCCTACAAAATTTCAATGTACAAAATTTACAATATATACAACGAACAAAACTCCTCAAGCTAAACACGACAAGCTTTCGGAAAACAAATTGACATAACACAACAAATACAAATACAATATGAAAACCGGGTGAAAATGAATTAACAAGTTGAAAAGTGAAGATTTGAAATTCAGAGTATTTCCTTGTTTCAACTTGTTAAAATACAAACCACCACACACATAAACAAACATGCTTGTTTTACGTCGTAAGCTCGACGTCTTTATTGTGCAAGCTAGTAATCTCCTCTCGTCATGCCATGGTATTGTCACACCACGCAAACCTAAAGAAAGTGTCCTAACAATCACACAACGAACGTTACGAAAACGAGGCAATTCACAATAATACGTGAAACACATATATGCACAAATATCATATATATAAGTTAATGTACGATTTCTATACAACATATACATCAATTACAAAATTCAAAAACAAAAGAATTATCGCAATGCGAAAACAATATAATCAATCCCCGACAACGGCGCCATTTTGTTGCTGCGGTGTATAGCGGCAAGCAAAAAATAAAATATCAATTTTACCGTGTGATATAGGTTATATCGTATCATGTCCACATAGATTGATTATTGATTCGCCGTTCGACAATTCATTCGTTAATGAGTTTGAAGATTGAATGGTATAGAAAAGTATTAACAGATAATAAATGTAAACAAAAGAAAAAGCTAAGGAAGAACTTATCAAGGCTGCATATAATCTACTTATCACAGACTTAATTCTATCGACCAGTTACATTCAACCTAACAATACTCATCAATGTCACTATGTATCATTCACAACCTAAGTCATTTCTAACCCAAATTGAGATACCGACTGTATCACCAAGGAAATGATCTCTCTACCTCCTCAACAACACAGAAGACAACTATGTAATCGCACTGACGATCTCTCAGCACAACACAACCACACAAAGACATTAAACTCTGATATCCAAGTAGATGTCAGTTCTAAATCTATCTCTAGAGTTCAGAAACTAACATATAATCATTCTAGATAAGAATCTAAGCAGTATATGTCTATAACAACTCAAATCCCTAGCACAAAGCAAAAATCCAAGACAACAATCCACACAAATTTGTAAAGCAAGATTAATATAACGCCATGAGCGACAAATATACATAAGTTCAAAGTAAAATACATACAAAACCTAACAAAAGAGAAATACATAGAGAGGAGAAGAGATAAACCACAAATCTTCCGGTTTGTCAGCTCTAGTCAATGAGAAATCCACCTCCAATCATCCATAAACAAAACTCTAGTGTTGTTATCTAAGCTATCCACTACAAAATTGAAGTTGATGGAGTTGGGAGAATAAAAACTCACCCCCAAAACCATCACCCAAAATGAAACAAAATGAAAGTATAAAGAAATTCTGTTCCGTGAGAATCGCCCGGCGACATAAAGTGCGCCCGACGACGTCTCTTATTCACTTGGCCCAGGATAAGCCACATCCTCAGCAGGTAAAAAATATCCTCCATCGCCCGGCGACAGAAAACTTCGCCCGGCGATACCTTTATTCCTCGCCTGGCGACGCAGCAGCGAAGCAATCATAAAAAATGGCCTTCTCGCCCACTGTCGTCTGGCGACAAGAATTTCGCCCGACGACACTAGGCAGAAGCAACAAGGAAATTTTGGCCTACAAATTTCGCCCGACGACAGGAACTTTCGCCCGACGATTCATGACAGTCCAACAACTTCTGTTGCTTTCCTGCATAACTTCCAATGGCTCCAATCTTTCGCCTTTTATTCTTTTATTGATCCAAAAATGTATCTTGCAACTTTATTCCTCTTACTCCAACAATACTCAAATACCTATAAAATGAATATAAAACTATCAAATGATGCACTTTATACACGAAAACGTATTATACACAAACTAAACGTATTTATACACAAAGTTGGGTTATTCAACTGATATTAACAACCAAGAGTCGATAAGTGCAACAAAAAATATATACAAAAATAACTACAATTTGCACTTATCAGCTGACTGTATTCCGTAGGATTTTTTGTTTTGGGCAGTGGTATAGGGCTGTTATTTGCAGATATGTACTTTGTTGTGGAGTATCCTCTTTTTATACATTAACTTCAAAATTGTTTTTGAACCTCTGATAGAGTGTTAAAACAGAAGATTGTAAGCAATGCAACAAACAACGTTTTCTGTCAATATTGCTTACAACTTGGCTGTATAATAGATCTACTTTCAGAAAACTATTTGAAGAGTTTGTTAAAAACATTTGGAAAATTGCCGCACTGAAGATTGCTTCTTACTGAATGGCATGTGCTGACTGGTTATATGAAATTGTATCATAGTTACTTGGAGCTGGCAATATTGCCTTGCCGGCGTTTTCTTCTCGACCAGCCTACAGACAGTCTCCAACGCTTAGTGATGATGACAAGAGGATTAGGAGATCCCGTGGCATCTGCATATTGCCGTCTATATATGGCTCATTGTGCTCAGAAGCTGCCATCACATGACATAGGTATTTTAGTTTATACTATATGTCAATTCTTAGGATGTGGTGATGTACTATGTAAAACATGTGAACCAGATGGACCCTTTTAATTGTTAGAGTAAGATCTGTATGTATCCAGAGCTTTTTTTTCTGGCCTTGCTTATATAATTGTGTCAAAATGTGCTAGTCCCCAGCAAACTGCAATTCAAGACCTCATATGAGATGTTATTCATGCTCTTTATCGTCAATACACAAATGCTTTGTTTGAAATTTTTGTATTTCTTCTCAAAATTACCAAATTTTACAGGCCATTGTGAATGTGATCCTTCTGCAGGTTAATACCTTATTTTATTAACTATTTCAGATAAATTAGAATAACAAATCTGGATTATTGCTCTATACACTTTTCTGGTGATGTTTTGTGCTCTTGTTTTGTATTCTGTGCTCTACAGTTGTGCTTGGTTTCCCTATGAATGCTTAAGGGCCTCTTTGATTTCTATTTCCATTGTTTTAATTTCCCGTTTTCACATTTAATTACAAAATGTTATATTTTTTCACTTTCTTTGATGTTTCACAAATCCTTATAACCAAGAAACACAGTGAAACAGGTGGCATTTTTTGTAATTAAAAGTGTAAACTCTAAATACATATAGAAATGGAAAGGAAAACAGAAACGAAACAAGCCCTGATTTTCTCTCTTATCCTTTTTTCTCAATGGAATGCCAAGGTCATTGACTTGACTCATTCTGTATTTCTGCACTTTAATGTATCTGTTTGCTGTCTATTTCCTTGTGTTCATTTTCATCATTTCATGAATTGTGCAACTGTAACAGGCTATCTTGTTACTTGTGTTAATGATCTCAAAGTTATTTTGACACAAACCTTAGCTACCAATGAAAGAAATCTGGGAAATTTCCAAAATAACAAAAAATTGCAAATCAGTCTGATGGAACCAACCATTGAGTACATTATGAAGTGTATATTTATTGGATTATCTCAGGTATGTGATGGAGTTCATTTTAACGTGCTTAACTTGTTTTGGAGTTTGGACAATATTATATGTTCCTATTCCCGTACATCTGTTTTTTTTAAGACCCCATACATCCATTTTTTTTGAAGACCCTATACATCTTATTTTTTTGGAAGACTGGATACATCTTTGTTTTATGAAAGCATATAACTGAAATGTCATTGGTTGGTATCGTTGATCTGCCATTTTGAATTTTGCTAGAGCGATTCAAAAGAATATGCTGGTTGAAACTTAGTGAAATATGCATATAGCTACATTCATGCTTAGGGTATTTCTCATTATTATAATGAAAAATTAAGTCCTGTGTCTTAATCTTCAATAAGAATTCTTGCTTATCTTACAATAACAGGACAAAAAGTTTGAAAAAGAAAAATCAGATTGCTAAATTTTACCGTGCTTTTCTCCTCGCTTTATCCTTTGCATTATGCTAAAATAAGTATATTTACTATGCTCAAGAGACGAGTCAATGAAGTTCTACCAGAGCTTGGATTAATGAAGAATCAACAAAATTTTGGGACTGTTTCATGTGTTTCGCTGGTTCTTCATCATTTATTGAAGGAACTCCCTATTGAAGTAGTCAGTTCAAATGTTGTGCATATCCTTCATCTCATTGAATTTAACAATGATAATTCCTTTCATCAGGTTTGCATTTGCAATTTCTGTCATGCCTTAAATACTTCTAGTACACATTATGAAGTTATTTACTACTCCCTCCGTCTCATAATGTGTCTTATTTGAGCAATGTGCGGTTCTTAAGAAAATGATTAGATATGTTGATTTTAATGATATACTCCTCTGTAACAAATTATATGCAAATTTGACTTTTTTAATACATTTGACCATTAATGTATCTAATCCATATATACACTACTACATACATTAATTGTCAAATGTACCAAAAAAGTCAATTTTGCTTATACTCCCTCCGGTCTTATATGTAAGCAAAAAAAAAAAGCTCACCCTTTAAGAAAGTGGTCATATATTCATTTAAATGGTGAGAAATATGCATTTTTTCCATATTTACCCTTATTTATTAATTTAGAATTTAATTAATAATTTTTTTATATTTAATTATTGGTCCTTTTGTTTCTATCGGTGCATCTATAATGCAACTAATAAATGTCCACTTTTAAACTCTTAAACTTTCTCACTCCACATACTCTCATTGCAACCAATAAACTCCCACCTTAAAAATGTAGTAAAATTTTAAGTTTTCATATAAAACTGTCCCGCCTGAAAAGTTTGCCAAAATTTTCATACTCAAAAATACATTCCCGCCTTGTACTACAAAGTTGAGCTCTATAAATACTAAAGCTTATTTTTCCTGTATCATTGTCATTTGGTTTTAATAAAAATGCATCTTAATATTGATCTAAACTCTCCATATGTTGATCATGAAATGATGGAATGCAACATATCACCTTCCATTAATCTAAATGATCTTTCTTCAAGTAATGATAATGAAGTTGAACATGGATTTCCTAACCATGATGAAGACATTGATGTAGATGCTCTCTATTCAAATGAAGTTTATGTCATGGAAGAAGGTAATATGCTCTTTCATGTTGGATAACCATTAAACAACTTAATTAATTATTTTTACTTTCAATTTTGTTTTATAAAGTTGCAGAGAGTGAATTTAATCCAAATGAAGATGATAGAGAGGAGACTGAATTTAATCAATATGAAGATGGATTTAGTATGCAATACTGTAATCAATTTATTTTAAACATTTTGTTTATATCCAAATAAGAACACCTAGTTCAAATAATCTAAATAAATTTTTATCATGTCTTTAACCTCTTCTTGCTTGACACCGAAGTCCAATGCCGGTAATTTGTTCAGATCAAAATCACTCATATCTAGTAATTCAACAATGGTGCTTTCATTTGTTGGAGTTAGAGCATCTTCACTTTCATTCTTTGGAGTGAGATTTTCTGCACTTTCATTTGTTGGAGTTAGAGCATCTTCACTTTCATTCTTTGGAGTGAGATTTTCTGTACTTTCATTTGTTGGAGTTAGAACTACTTCAGGAACTTTGTTCAAATCCAGAGAGTCTTCAACAATGAGATTTGATAAATTCTCAGAGTCTTCAATGCCTAAATCAAAAGATGGAAATTCATTAGCTATTTGATGTGGGTTTGCCATGTTTAGAGTATAAAAAAAAAAGAAGAACAAGACTCATGGTAGACAAAATACTGGATATGAAACATTTATAATAGGATATGGCATTTCAAAAGGCAATGGTAACAAATGCAACTTAAAAGTAAAAATAAATGCTCATTTGGAAACTATAAAAAGTGAAGTTATTAGAGGAATATTTTTGTTTTTGGAAAACTACAATATGAGGGTAAAATTGGAATGAAGAATTTAATTATATCAAGGGTAATTAATTTTTGCTTATAATTGAGACTAGTAAATTTTTTTTTGTTGCTTACATATAAGACCGGAGGGAGTAATTTGTTATGGAGGGAGTAATTAATATCATTTAATAAAATGCCCTTATTAATTATAGTTAGTGGAGTAGTTGAATAAAGTGAAAGTTACTCCCTCCGGTCTTATATATAAGCAACAAAAAAAAATTTACTAGTCGCAATTATAAGCAAAAATTAATTATCATTGATATAATTAAATTCTTCATTCCAATTTTACCCTCATATTGTAGTTTTCCAAAAACAAAAATATTCCTCTAATAACTTCACTTTTATAGTTTCCAAATGAGCATTTATTTTTACTTTTACGTTGCATTTGTTACCATTGCCTTTTGAAATGCCATATCCTATTATAAATGTTTCATATCCAGTATTTTGTCTACCATGAGTCTTGTTCTTCTATTTTTTTTATACTCTAAACATGGCAAACCCACCTCAAATAACTAATGAATTTCCATCTTTTGATTTAGGCATTGAAGACTCTGAGAATTTATCAAATCTCATTGTTGAAGACTCTCTGGATTTGAACAAAGTTCCTGAAGTAGTTCTAACTCCAACAAATGAAAGTGCAGAAAATCTCACTCCAAAGAATGAAAGTGAAGAAGCTCTAACTCCAACAAATGAAAGTGCAGAAAATCTCACTCCAAAGAATGAAAGTGAAGATGCTCTAACTCCAACAAATGAAAGCACCATTGTTGAATTACTAGATATGAGTGATTTTGATCTGAACAAATTACCGGCATTGGACTTCGGTGTCAAGCAAGAAGAGGTTAAAGACATGATAAAAATTTATTTAGATTATTTGAACTAGGTGTTCTTATTTGGATATAAACAAAATGTTTAAAATAAATTGATTACAGTATTGCATACTAAATCCATCTTCATATTGATTAAATTCAGTCTCCTCTCTATCATCTTCATTTGGATTAAATTCACTCTCTGCAACTTTATAAAACAAAATTGAAAGTAAAAATAATTAATTAAGTTGTTTAATGGTTATCCAACATGAAAGAGCATATTACCTTCTTCCATGACATAAACTTCATTTGAATAGAGAGCATCTACATCAATGTCTTCATCATGGTTAGGAAATCCATGTTGAACTTCATTATCATTACTTGAAGAAGGATCATTTAGATTAATGGAAGGTGCTATGTTGCATTCCATCATTTCATGATCAACATATAGAGAGTTTAGATCAATATTAAGAGGCATTTTTATTAAAACCAAATGACAATGATACAGGAAAAATAAACTTTAGTATTTATATAGCTCGTACAAGGCGGGAATGTATTTTGGAGTATGAAAATTTTGGCAAACTTTTCAGGCGGGACAGTTTTATATGAAAACTTAAAATTTTACTACATTTTTAAGGTGGGAGTTTATTCGTTGCAATGAGAGTATGTGGAGTGAGAAAGTTTAAGAGTTTAAAAGTGGACATTTATTAGTTGCATTATAGATGCACCCATAGAAACAAAAGGACCAATAATTAAATGGTTATAAAAAAATTATTAATTAAATTCTAAATTAATAAATAAGGGTAAATATGGAAAAAATGCATATTTCTCACCATTTAAATGAATATATGACCACTTTCTTAAAGGGTGAGTTTTTTTTTTTTTTTCCTTACATCTAAGACCGGAGGGAGTAATAAATAAGAGTATAGTAGTGGAAAAAAATAAATGTTGTATTGGTATTATAAAGAGACATTTATTTTGAGATAGAGAAAAGGTGCAAAGAGACATTTTTTATGAGACGGAGGAAGTATATTCTAGCTAACCTTTTTTGTGTCTGTTTTTCTGATATGCACTTTTAATGTTTTTTTGTTAATACAGCACCTGAATTACAGATTGCTTGGGTTCAGGCTGTATGAAGGGAAGTGCCCAGTTGACATTGTTAATGCTGTGTTAGATAAAGTTATGCAGGTACTTATATATTTCTAGTCCATCTTGAGTTACATCATTACTTTCTTTACAATTTGATACAGTCTTTGTAGATCTACTATATCTTTAGGGAAATGATGTATTTTCTTTGTTGTTTCCACTTTCCTCTAGTGGCAGGCAAGCATGCTGTCAGGGGCACATATTCTGTTTATTTTTTGTTTGAAATTAGAATGTAGGGAAGAGGTTTTATTAATAGAGGAAGGAAAAAAGACTAGGCGATCTTAGTTGATGTCATTTTTTTTGGTTATTCTACTAGGATATATATCTGTCCAGTCTTGCACTTCTTTCATTAAAAAGTATGTATTGATTGTTGGTTGAGACATACTAAGTTGTGTTTATGCTTGTACAAACTGTAACAGTTTTAAGTTGTTTTTAATTCTCTGTCGTGCACCTCATTACTACGTATAAACTTAAGGTAAAGGCTATTTTGCATGCTAGTAGTTAGCATCCCTTTCCTAACTTCTGTAATCTGGTGAGTTCGATTTTTGCAATTGTTTTTGCTTTTTAGTGATTTTATTCCGGGCTTCATTCCTAAGCACGTTTTTGACAGTGTCATTTTTCCCCCTCCTATTTGATATATTCTCTAATTTGGCTGCAATTTCAGGTTATTGCGACGTACAAGAGTCTTGATGAGTACCTGAAAGTCATAGATGCTTATGCCGATCTTATACTTCAGAATCACATGGTATGTTTGAGTGAGTGGGTACAATCAGATCTGTTGCTCCTATAAACTGTGTGAATAAAAAAGGTGTTTATACCATACTTATTATTTTTGTTTAGTTCACTACTCTCTTGTCCTTTTTACAGGGTTAAGAATATTGAGGCTGATATGCATTTGTAGTAATCACCTTTTTTATTTCCATTGCTGTGAAATTAGTATTAGTTGGAGGTTCAGATGTTTAGTTTTGAAATCACATTAACATTAAGTAAAGATGCCATTGGTTATTCTTGAAAAGCAGTGACAAGCAAGTAGTAAATACAAAAACGGATTGGAGTTTGTATCTGCTTGAGACATTGATTTTATGGTGTACTTTTGATTAATTTAGACAAGTTTGTTCATTTTATTTTCAAACGCCCAACTTAAACAAGTTTTAAAAACACATAAGCCATTATACAGTTCTTATCTGTCGTTAATAGTAACTGCTGATATTTATAATGTAAATATGATGCAGGAATAAAATAGAAAGAAATAGAAAAGAATAATAGTAGAAGAGAAAACCAAATTGTCTTGCGCATTATACTCCTTCCCACTCATAATGACTTCTTTTTAGCAAAATTAGAGCGATACAAAAGGGAATATCATTAACTACTACCTCATTCAAATTAAGAAAGTTGGTTAACTTAGTTTGTTGCATTAAATTTGTTAGTAATTTGTTATTTTTCCAATATTACCCTTATAATTAATCATCTCACTCCTCTACCTAATAAGTTGCTCACTAGGTGGTTTTTATTGGGACTCTTCACCCCTCTCTTTTCTCCTATCCTCACAAGAGATATGATGAAGTAATTAAGGGTATTTTGTTGAAAATAATAGTTAATGCAAGAGAAAATTCGAAAGGGGTCTCAAAACAAAATAAACTTTTCAAAAGGCTCTTATTGCTGCTACATAAGGATGTAGGTAGTAGCTTTAGATCGCTAATATATTTTTTCCGAAGCCAATTCTTGATGTTTGTGCCACTAATCAGGCTGATGTTCACAGTCACTGTATATTGAGTATCAGCCTGTTATAATTTCGTAGGCTGGGCGTGTGAGGTTGCTACCTTTATTGCATTCAGGTAACTCCAGCCCAATCTCATGGGTTGACTTTTCAATCAGCAACTAACTTGATTCCCATTCTCAAGAGATGGAACCTTCTCTTCGATTATGAAGCTTGCTTTCCTTTGATAAATATATTAATAGCCAAATGCTTTCCACATGGAAGTATTGGAGTATTCAGTTTGACGGCATAGGACCAAAAGGAGTTTAGACATTGAAATGATGTTGAAATTAGATAAAGATGAAGAGGAGAGTTTGTAGTTTCAAAGTTCTATTATATAATAGTTATACTTACCTGGAATAAATAGTCAAAATTATATAAAAAACAAACAAGCACTAACACATTTGACGACTTGGGAAAATCCATAAAATATTGAGATTTATCTGCTGGCTGATAGATTAATTCTTATCCAATTTAGGTTCCAATCTGATAGAAACCAGAATATTTAGGTTACAATAAGGTATTATAAATTGCAGATGATCGAGCTTAAAGTTCTTATAATGGTGGAGAAAACAGAAAACTACACCAGTGTTCCAAATCAGAGCAGATTTACTCCTAAACCAGAAAGAATTTTCTCCCAACTGACTCTAACAACATTTTTGAATGAATTACTCATTACCCTTCCCTCTCTTTTATAACAGAAAAGTCCCTAAATTTCAGGGAATCTCCCAACTAACTTTGATTCCCTCAGCTTCAACAACTTTCTAGAAGCTGTGCTTATGTGAAATGGGCCCAATGATTGGGTCATCACACGTGCTGGACCTTAGTGTCCTATCACAATCAATCTACCTGCCACTCTCAAATAGCATGAGAATAACGTCCAAAACATTCTTTGTAATCTTTCCTCTAAATACTCTCATCTATGCCAGGATAATCATTTGGACATCATTTTGAGAGGCATTTCAGAGCGTGCTTTGAATGGAGGAGTTACAATAGATGAAATGTCAAGCTTGCAATCTCTTTTGGTGAAGTTTCTGTCTCATTTTGAGTGTTTGGAAGATGTGTTTTGTCTGGTACATTCCTATAATATACTTTTGCATACTATCGTCTTTCTATCATTTCTGTTATTCATAAACTTCAAAACACGAGCTGCAAATGAATGCTATTAGTGATTTACTTTTATTGTTATCATTTTGTAGAATCATTTTCCTGAAATCTTGGATATATTGCATGGGAAATCTCAGGATGTTGTCTTTTTGCACATCCTTAATATGGCGACAAGGTATTACTTATAGCAAACAATTTGCTTTACTGTCCTTCCACTCAATGTTGACATTCATATGTCTCCTCTTGATTTTCTAGTACGTACAAGATAAACATATTCTTTCAGCGTTTGATGAAAAATAAATTTCAGCTTTTTTCATTTGGTGGCCACTCTCTAGTACGTAGATGATTCACATATTTTAAGGAACAATGGATTATTATTTGTTGAGCAGGAGTGGCCGTATTAGGGATCCGACAAGAATACAGTTGCTTTTTGAAATTTCTCGGACTCTACATGATAATATGGAATTTATAAATGCCAAGAATGATGATAGCCAAGTGACACGTTCAGTATCTCGCTTTGTGTACATGGTAACTTTTGACCTTGCTAACATTCTTTGGCTGTGATAGCTTTTTGCCACGATTATGGTTTGTTGAGAACTGCCTCTAATTTCTAGGTTGATTATGGAGCAGTGATGGAACACCATTTAGCATTTCTGGTTGATTGCCGAGCATCTTTTGGCAGATTCAATGAGCTTAAGGTTTGTCATTCTTTTGTTTTAGCTGATTTATGATAAATTATACTTCTCAAAAACAACTACAAATGACATTTGAATATCATAATGTTTTACAACTAGCGCATACTCCCATTCATTGTATCGGTAAGTAAGTCATGGGTATAGTAGTTCTTATTTAGGGAGTCATTCTATTCCCGATGTAACCAAGCAGTGGAATATAAATAGTCATTCCATTCCAACCCACTATGCCATTCCATTTTTGACACAACCAAACACCACAATACAAATGGCCTCCCCGTTCCTATCCACTCCAATTTCATTTCAATTCTCTTAAAACAATTCGGTGTACCAGACATGCTCTTTAAGTATAAAGTCTAAAGGCCAAAAATTGTTTGTAGAGTTTTGGAAGAAAGAAGTAATGTTTGGAGACACTTTGTTTGCAAATAGCACTGGTAAAATATATTGTGATATATAATCATGTTTTCTCACAGGAAACTCTCGTTCACTCCAGCAATTCTTTAGCAATTCAGTCTTTGCAATGTGCTAAGAAAGATTTGAGTTTTTTCAAGTCATGTGTCACATTTAGCGAAGTCACAATACCTTCTATCTCTGGTCAGAGACAATTTGATCTTTTTCTAGAGACTGCAGAGGTGCGTATAAGCGCTTTAAACACATTAATGTTCTATGTACTTTTCTTACGTTTATGCACGGATTCATAGTTTGAATTTTTCAGGTAGCATTCTTAGGGGGATTGGTTTCTCATGTAGATGGATTAATTGATTCAGGAATCAGGTGTTTGCATATCTTGGACAGAGTTGATGGTAAGTTTATATGTAAAACATGTAAAGTAGTCACCGAACTGTTGTGGGAGTACTAAGAAGTAAGAACCAATATTTGTATGAATCCTATTCATTTGTTAGTAGTAGTATGTCTGTGGGAATTTATTTGATGATAAATTCTTATATTCTATTATCCACTAGTGGTGCTCAAAAGTTTTTAAGTTATCACAGTTAAAACTTATTTATGTTGCCTAAACTATGAATTGGTGTATATTTTTTATTTTTTACTACCTCAAGGTGGAGCAGAAAACTCGGTAACTTGGGTATCATGACTTTCTTGTGTTCCCTAGGTCTATTATCTAATGATTTGAAAGGTAACATAGAATTAATGCAAGGAGGTTGGAGAGGCTAATCTCTCCCAACCAACTAGTAACAATATAACCGATCCCCCAACCCTTCTCCTAACCTCCCTTTTATAATTTACAACTGTTGCCTTGGGCCCACTTGAATTTATGGAATAAGTCCTTATAATTGGAGGTCTATTGCTAATAGATGTTCTCGATTTTGTAGGCTTTCGGACTTCAGCTGATATTGAAGGACTAGTTTCATCTATTAGAAAGCTGTGTGGCTTCTTAATTATGGTCCCAGGTTAATATTATTTCAATTTTTTACATTGATTTTCATTAAAATATAAAATCTTCTTTTTTAAGCGATGTCTCTACTATTATAGTTTGTAATAGAAAGATCTGTGTACTAGGTATTTGAGATCTATAGCCCCTTTCCATATCTGTGTACTTACAATGATTTTCTCCAACTTCTTTGAAGGTAATATTAGTCTACCGGTTACCTATTTCCCAAATAACTTATTTTCATTGATCAGCTCCCAATCATGGTCAGTTTTCTTTGGGATATATCTATAATTGAAACACATTCTCTCTTTTCCTTTCCAAATTTTGATTGATGGATGAATTGGAAACCCCTGCCAAATTTTGATTGATGGATGAATTGGAAACCCCCGCAGGTTTGACCCAAAAATGAAGACACAGATTTTTTCTGCTATCATATTATTATTGACAACTTTATCGCAAAAGACTCTGCCATATCATGCAAATAAACAGGTATAGCCTTAACTTGCCTTATTTTGTATCTGTAAACTGTGACTAAAAGCAACTTTTAACATATATGACTACATAATGGACAAAAAATTATATATCATCCCCTCTGTCATTCCAAAATGAACAAAACAAATGTTGATTTTTGTAATGAGAATTGAGAAAAGTTATGTTGGTTTCTTGTGCGTCCAAACGCCAGAGTAATAGGTATAATATTTGAGTTGCCGAAGTTATATGGTTTTAGATAATGAAGGAGGGAACAACAGTATGAAGGAGAAATGAGAGCATTTTCTCTCAATTCTTCCATTCCTCATATCTTCTTAACAAATATCAGTAATATTGCTAATGCTTGATCATCTATCAACCTTCTCTAGTAAACTCAATCAATCACACTAGGCCCGATAAGTTGTTTCTTTTCCTTTGGCACCAACCTGCAGGGACAGAGAGAGGTAGGGAGGTAAAACTGTTTTCTTCAGATCGTTTATATTCCATCATCTTTGAGAAGTTTACTAATGGTTTAGATTCTAGAGTAGCCATTGTCCCTCATTCTACTGTAATTGCTATGTAAGATCTTGGTCGTCATTAGTAGTTTCTAACCAAGGTTCTGCTCATGTGATGCCAGTCTTAGAATGTGTGGGTTGGGCCTAACTCAACCCTACAAAACCGACTTGTAAGGTGAAGATTGCCCTCACTTATAAATACATGTTCAGGCCATATATTGTTCAATGTGGAATTCTTAACACCCCCTCTCACGCCCAGGAATTGCGTCTTTCATGGAACTAAATGATGGGTGGCCCAATGGATCTTAAATGAGACTCTGATACCATCTTAGAATGTGTGGGTTGAGCCTAACTCAACTCTACAAAACCGGCTTATAAGGTGAGGATTGCCCTCACTTATAAACACATGTTCAGGCCATATATTGTCCAATGTGAGACTCTTAACAGTTTCTAACCAAGGTTCTGCTCATGTGATGCCAGTCTTTTCTCATTTTCAGTGGCTATAATATGCACAATGGTTTATGGTTTTGTAAATCCCAGTTTTCCTAACCAGTTATGGTTTGTAGTTTTTATTATTTAATTTCCACTGCAATTTATTTTTTGCCTTTCCAGATGCCTGGCAATGACATGTTATATTATGGGGATTCATCTTACAAGCAAGAACTCGAGTCTTTGTCTAAGGTTGTTCTTGAGAACCTACTTTGTGCCGTTCAACAAGAACCTTCCCAGGTATCCTCAGCATGGTTTAGTTAACTTTGTTTGATTTATTTAACAATTTTGAATTGGTACTAATTTATTATGCTAAATTGAAGGCTGCTCGAGGAAGTATGGCACTCGAAGCTTGCAATTGCATTGCATCATCTTTCATGGTAAGATGTCATATAATTGTTTGAATTCAGCTTTCCATTATCTGTAATCAATCTATTTATTAGCAGGATAAGGAGGTTATTCCATTTTGTAGCATAATTCAGCTAGTATTATGTTGATCAATTCAACGAGTTAAGAAGTCGTCATATTTTGTTGTTATCACAAATTCAATATGAACCTTAAAATGTTTGATCGCTATGCTTCTTGGTTTGCAGCAAAGCAATGAATTGTCCTCTATTTGCCATACACTGATTGGAACAGCAAAGTCATGTTTGAGTGTCCAAGACAGATGCCTCCAGTCAACCATTCGACTTATAAACAACCAATTGCCAACTTTGGCAGGGGCCGTGGTGTGAACTTCTTTGTGATTTGTGTTTGTCTAATTTGTTTGGTCACCTGACATTGTGTGGGACTAGTTAGTTTCAGTCAGTCTTTTGTCTTCCCCTCTTTATTTGTTGAAGGGGTTTATTAATTTCAAATTTACTATTTGCCAAAATATCATCATTATTAATATTTTGGTTTTTGATTTGACATTGTTAATGAACTTCTAGTTTAGATGTAATGGGAGTTGCCTTGCAACAAAGTGGCATCATGGTGTAGCTTTGTGTACAAAACTTCGGTGATATTTGCAACACTATTCTTGGCTATATTTCATCACCAAAATCACACTTCATCGTATGTTATTTGCAACTTCTTTGAGAGTGAAATCGAGTTTGATCACGAGTGGTGTTTTTATTCAATTTTCTACTTGAAATTTTTAGACATGTGTCTCTGGAAATATTACTGAGTTGTTAAATAAATCAACTCAATGAATAAAAACACCATAAATGAGTATAGGGGTTTACAGTGATGTATCTTCGGATACATCTAAATTTTGAAAAAAATGGAGCGTGTGGTTGAATTATGATGGTTTATGTGATTGTAGGTGCGTCAAGAGATGTATCTCTAGACAAATTTAAAGTATTTTTGAGTTTTTAGAAGTGTGAGGTGCATTCAATAAGATAAATTGGGTAAAATAATTTTTTTTATCAATCGTTATAATTTTTTTTTGTCAGACGGTTAATTTCATATTTCAATAAAAAATAATAATTAAGTCATTCTCCTCTATTATTTGAAACCTATTAAAATATCAAAATTCTTGAAGTTGGGTTATGAGTACCCGTGTGTTTTTGTTTGAATTTAGTTAAGTCATGTATATGAATGAACCTTCTTTTATATCTAATGTTTATACAGTCACATTTTCTTCTAAATTTGTAAACTTTTTTGGTTAGTTACACATCAAACGTTATTGTTTTAAAATTTGTAAATTGATTTTATAATATAATATGCATTTAGATTTTGAAATGTGTATGTTTATGTTGCATAAATGTCAAATTTGATTATAAAGTCTAGTTTCATATAGAAATTTCACAAACAAAAATTTGTTTTCCCTATTTAAAATTACCAGTGTGCGCAAATGAACAAGAGTCTCATTATTCTGATACGTTTTAAGAAAATCATTGTAGCTTAGCAGAGAGTTCTAAGGAAAAAATTATTGGGTTGTTTATAATCACTTTTGATTATAAGTGTTTTTTCATATCAACACAATATAAAGGAAAATTCTGAAACTTTGATTGCATACCAAGTGTTTGACAAATTGTTTAGCTTGTTCTATTCAAAAGAAAATTCTATTGCACACTAAAGGTACTACAAATTGTTTAATTTATTCTTTTGATTGCTATCATTGAAAATAATATTGCTAGTAATATTCTATAAACGTTAACTAAGATATAAATCGGTTGAAGCTTATTAATTCTAATTTATTGTTGTCATTCTATATTGAATTTTAATATTTGCATATCCTACTTCCAATAACTTGGTACGACTCAATTTCAAAAACTATCGATTGCACTCTTTTATTAAAGAAATTTTAAAATCAGAAATTTTCTAGAATTTTAGCTTGGTGATCTATTCACCCCCTTTAGATAAGGCGTCATTGTCTAACAAGTGACATCAAGAGCCCAGTTCATTTTGACTTCGAAACTTATTAGAAAATGGTGTACGAACCTAAAGGGGATTATAAATGAGCCACAATTTCACAATTTTCATGGGAGAAAACTATAATTATTGGAAAGATTGCATGCAAATTCATGTCAACTCATATGACAAAAGTGTTTGGGAAGTCATTCAAAATGGTCCAACACCGGTGACATATATTGTTGATGGTGCTACCGTACCAAAGCCGAAAAACTTATGAAATGAAGATGATAATAAGAAGTGGGCACACGATTGAAAAATGAAAAATATTATCATATCCGCTCTTGTATTGATGAGTTTTATCACATTTACCATTGTCAAACCGCTAAAGCTACATGGGATGCTCTACAAGTTACCTATGAGGGAACTAACGAGGTTAAACAAGCTAGGATTAATATGTCTAATGAAGAGTTTAAATGAATAATCTTATAATAGTATAATTTAAAAGTATTTAATTATATAACAGTATTTTAAATAAATAATCATATAAAAAATGTATAATAATTTTAAATGATATATAACAAATATTTAAAATGTATAATATATTAAAAATATATAATTAACTAACAAATATACTTAAAATGTATACCAAATATTTATATCATCATTTCAAATAATTATATAACAAATGCATAACAAATGTATATTATTTTAAATGATAAAAAATTATATATATAATTTGTTTTTATAACTATAATATATATAATTTGTTTATATATATATAATTACACATTTATAACTATAACTTAAAAATATATTTATAACTATAATATATATATATAAATATATTTTTAACTTATATTTAACAAACATTTATATATAAATATTTAAATATTTTTAATAGCTGAATAAAAACATATTGTTAGAAATAGAATAATAAATTTTTAAAAACTGAATATTATAAAATAGAATAATATTATTATTTTTAAAATAGAATATTATTATTATTTTTAAAAATATAATATTATAATTATTTTTATAAATAGAATATTATTATTCATTTAGAGAATAAAAATAGAATATTATTATTCCTTTAAAAAGTTAGTTATTTTTTTATTATTAAATAACTAATAAAATAAAAAGAAATTATTATGATAGATATATTAAAGTAGTATTCAAAACGACTAGCGATTCCAACTTCATGTTCTCGAGTTGCAGAGAACAATCCGAACTGAGACAATCTTTTCGGATTCGCTCCACCTTACAGCCTTGCTTTCCATTGTAATTGTCATTGTAGCACGTGTGTGGCCCAACCCATAAAGGCCATGCGGACTTGACGTCATCCCCACCTTCCTTCAGTATCTCACTGGCAGTCCCTCGTGAGTGCGGCATGCATCTTTTTGTTTGTTTCGGAGAGTAATTTACCAATTGAAATATTTAGTCTAGTGATTTAGTGCAGGACTTATAAGTAGATAGTGCAGAGTTTAAAACTCACATAATGCATAATTTTATAAAGGGGAAATCACAAATTTTTTTGAACCAAAATTTTTAATACTATATTCCTGTTCTAAAGTCTAATTTTATAAAAGATATCTGTGCTGTGACAGGATACTAATCTACCACTAGAGCACTGGTGCTTCATGTTTTTCTCAATTACGAAAACCTGAAACGGCCATTCAATAAAATGTTTGTCATTTGTGGTTTTCTTTGGGAATTCCTATTTTGTTTTATCATTTGGATCATGTTTACCGTTCAAATTTTTACACTCCTTTGAATCCCAATACGAAATGCAAAGATTGGACATAATCTTATAAGTTTAATAGTTCTATTATAATCATCAACAGAAAATAGGATTTAATAGTTCAAAATCTCTAGACATTAGTAGCAACAAGTTGGAACCATTGGCTCATAGGATCATCAAGACAAAGAGAATCATCATGTATGCATATACATTTTGAACTCACAACAACAGATGAATTTGAATCCTTATGCAAGCAAACTTCTTTCCCATCTTTATCAACAGTAGACAAATGAAGTTTTGAAAGTGATGCTGTTTTCCACGAGCTGTTCTTGCTTTCACAATCATCAGAAACAGACACTGGAAGCCCTTCACCAGAAGCAGATAAGCACTTTCTAGAATCACTCAGAAAGATTTGAGAACCATCATAGCTCCATCTCTTTTGTTTCTCACACCTACCAATTTCAATTTCCTTGTTTTTATTAACTTGTGCACATTGACCTGTTAAAGGATGGTACATTATGTATTCATTGGAGTGTTTCGATGTAGGATCTGCATTTTGAAACACAAGAAAATTTCAATTCAAATCAATATCGGGATAGAAGAGGACACATATACATTGTCTCTTTCATTTATCCGTTTTTCTTAATATATATGAAATGATTAATTGTATCACTCATTGTAAGACGAAGAAAATTATTGTCAAAGGCTGGCGCATGTTAAACACTGCTGACACACCTATTACCTACTAACTATTAGAAGTGTCCGTGCTTCATAACTATTGCCTTGCAAAATTAATATTATTGGCCACATTTAGCTATGATTCTCCAGAATATCAAAGATCGCGAAGCAACTTATAACCGGAATTTATTACCCTGAATGCAATATAAATAATTGAACTATGTTATAGTAATATAGTGAGAATTCTTACCTTGGTTCTTTCTTTGCAAAAGTTGAAACTTGTGGGTGAAGTTAGTGTTTCTAAGGCTATGCCAAGTAGCATCTACAACACCAAATGACTCATCAAGATGAACTTTATCTTCTCTAAGATAATATCCACCATGAAAAGCCCACAAACCCCAATCCAAATCTCTTCCAACAAGATACGTTTGAAGACATGTCAAGAACCTATTATCTTCAATCGTAGAACCACTTTGATCAAATCCAAATTCACTAAAGATCAAAGGAACTGCATTCTCACCGGTTGTAAGAAACCCAGCTCTTTCATCCAACCCTTCAATACTATTTCCACATATTCTATTCAATGGTTGCTTTGTCCAAATCTCTTTCAATTTCAATGTTCCAATCCCAGACCATGAATACAAATGTGTCTCATACACCATTTTTTTACCTAAGTCTATGTTCATTGGTTTTTTCTTTAAAAACTGTAACTCAGTATCATAGTTTAAACCTGAGATAACAACAAGCACATTAGGGTTTGTTTCATGGATTGCTAGTGCTCCTTTACTCATATACTTGTACCAATCTCTTTGATTTTGGCGCGGACCGTGTAATTCATTCCTCAAACTCATCGCCACAACCTGTTTATAGATTAAAAACCAATCAAAGTTATGTTACAGTTAAAAAATATAAGGCAAACCGCCAATAAAATGCACTGCCATGGATGAATTGCGTAGAACTCAAGATAAGAGTAAAGGAAGT